TATATATTTTTTTTTCATTAAAAATCCCACAAATGGTAGCATACTATAAAAATACTGTTCTACACCATGCCTTTCAGTCTTATATCTTAGAGAGTTTGTTCTATGTCAGGACATTCTTCTTAACAGTTGTATAGTGTGAGTATGGATGTACCACCTTTTATTTACCCAGCTTGAGGAGGTTCTGAGCCAGAAACTCAAATGGTATCTTAGGAAGCTTTGCTGAGCAGAAGGGTTCCAGGAGAACCAGAGGTAGGGAGACCAGGCAGGTAGCAGATGTACGAATGCAGGAGCCTGGCTGGGAGGGTGGCCTGGAATTCCAGGGCAAGTTGGGACTCCAGAGTACTCAAGTCCACTGTGCACCCTGTCCTGCCACTGCTCCCCTGGGGACTCATACCTTGGTGGGTGTGTCAGGGATTGAAGAGGTGGGAGAACCAGGAAAGGTCAAGACACACTTCTTCCCCAGGCAGCGGCCATGTAACTCGATGTCCTCATAAGGGTTTTCCTTCACTGGTGGATCTGTGGTCGAAGACAATAGGTCAGGAATGTGGGGATACTGTGGAAGTTTTCCTTTTCAGAACATTGAGGCTAACATCTTGGCCTCTCCTGCATTAGTCCTTGTGGGGATGTTGTTTTGTTATCTATTCACCCTTCCTCTTCGCAACAGACTCTGATTTCATATAGTTAATTCCCCATCTCCCCATTAGTAGCCATATGATATTAACTCCATTCCCAGTTTCAGGGCTTTAGTCAACCTGAGTATCCCAAATCCCTCCCTCAGTGACCAGGACAGGGAAGGGCTCATATCCTAAGCCTAAGGCAATCACTGCATGGTATTCCCAGACCCCAAGGTGCACAAGGGACCTAAGCTGGTGGTTAGGGGGAACCTCAAGCTTTGTGCTGGGACTTGCAGGACTTGCACAGGCTCTCCTTCCCCCTGTGCAATCTGTGGAAGGTACAGCTTCCAGGGAGCTGATGACACCATCGTGGGAATCACGGGAAGCCTGCTGAGAACAGAGCTAACCTGAGAGATAAGAAACAGAGGAAGGAAGAGCCAGCTCTGGTCACACGAGCCAACAAACTCCCTTTGTTGTTTCAGGTGGGTTTTCTGTTCCTTGTAACTGAAAGCGTCCTATTAGGCAGTCACCACTGAGACAAGTCCAGATCTCATACCCATTTTAGGTTTGGGAAGCCTGCTGCTTCGGCAGGAAGCCAGCCTGGAGACCGCAGTTCAAATAATCTATGATTCAGTTCAAATAGCTCAGCTAAGTATATGCCCTTTCCTGAGTCTTTTATTTCCTCCCTGCACGGGTTTTTTTTCTGCTATTGATGACTGCATGCAGGCATGTCTGTGTATATCTGCAATCCCTCTCCCCTGCACGCACATGTGGGTTTCTTCCTTTTTTTTTTTTTTGAGACAAGAGTCTCGCTCTGTTGCCCTGGCTAGAGTGCAGTGGCGTCATCATAGCTCACAGCAACCTCAAACTCCTGGGCTCAAGTGATCCTCCTGCCTCAGCCTCCTGAGTAGCTGGCACCACACCCAGCTAATTTTTTCTATTTTTAGTATAGATGAGGTCTCACTCTTGCTCAGGCTGGTCTCGAACTCCTGAGCTCAAGCAATCCTCCCACCTTGGCCTCCCAGAGTGCTGGGATTACAGGTGTGAGCCACCAAACCTGGCCAGTTTCTCTCTCTTACCAGTTTGTTTCTTCCCCCACCCCTGACCCCCACCATAAGCAGACACCAGTGAGAGCTCACACTTCACTGAAACCATGATCTTCCCCAAAGATGTTTTTACCTTTTAAAATTTTTTGGAGACAGGATCTCGCTCTGTTGTCCCAGCTCAAGTGCAGTGGCATCATCATAGTTCACTGCAATCTCACACTCCTGGGCTTAAGCAATCCTCCTGCCTCAGCCTCCCGTGTAGCTGGGAGTACAGGCGCACACCATGACGCCCGGCTAAGTTTTCTATTTTTAGTAGAGATGGGGTCCAGCTCTTGCTCAGGCTAGTCTAAAACTCCTGAGCTCAAGCAATCCTCCTGCCTCGGCCTCCCAGAGTGCTGGGATTACAGGCATGAGCCACCACGTCTGGCCAGTTCTGTCCAGTCTTTAAGCAACCCTGCAGGGTAGCTATCAACATCCTCATTATACAGTTGAGAGAATTGAAGTTCAGAGAAGTTAAGCCACTGACTCAGTGTCATGCAGCTAATAAACAGCAGAGCCAAGATTCGATTCTGGATCTTGAGACTCCAGGCACCACATTTCTTGCTGTGCCACGCCAGGCTGCCACGCCACCTCCTCGGCTGCTCAGCGCCAGCCCTTCTTCCTCTCCAGCTCCATGTTCTTTGCCTTATCCCGTGAGGCTCACTCTTGCGCCCTACCTACCTGCTTTGTCACACATTTGAGTACACATTGGTCTTCGAGTGTTTGCGTGTGTGTGCGTTTCAAGCAGCCAGCTCCATTCACGCCCCGCCTTTCTCACAGACAGACTCAGACCCACATACAGACATTTTGGCCTCTTACCTAGAATGTCTTCATAGACGTTCTCCTCCGATAAAGTGCGTGTGAGTCCCAACTTAGTCTGCGCATACCAGTCCACCCTGCTGTTCTCAGACGAAGACTGCAGTAAGTCTTCAAACTCATAGGACTTTCTGGGTTGTGTAGGATGGGAGGGAAAAAACAAAGAAATTGAATCAAATTAGGCTGCTCTGAGAA